CCAGCTACCCCCCTCCCCCTCTCCCCCCCTCACTCCCCCCCTCTCTCCAGCTACCCCCCCCCCTATCTCTCCCCCCCCTCTCTCTCCCTCCCCCTTTCTCCAGCTACCCCCCCCTATCTCCCCCCTCACTCCCCCCCCTCTCTCCAACTACCCCCCTATCTCTCCCCCCCCCTCTCTCCAGCTCCCCCCCCCTCTCTCTCTCCCCAGCTCCCTCCCCCCCTCTCCCCAGCTCCATCTCCCTCCAGCTACCCCCCTCCCCCTCTCCCCCCCTCACTCCCCCCCTCTCTTCAGCTACCCCCCCCCTATCTCTCCCCCCCTCTCTCTCCCCCCCCCCCTTTCTCCAGCTACCCCCCTCTATCTCCCCCCTCACTCCCCCCCTCTCCCCAGCTCCCTCTCCCTCCAGCTACCCCCCCTCTCCCTCCCCCTCTCCCCCCCCTCACTTCCCCCCTCTCTCCAGCTACCCCCCCTCTTCCTCTCTCCAGCTCCCCCACCCCCCTCACGCTCCCCACAAACTCGCTGCGTCCCTTCAGCCCTCCTCCAACCCCCTCCCCTCGCCTTCATTTAAAAATGCATCCATCCCCTCTCCGCCTCCCTCTATGCACATTTCCTCCTCTCATTTAAATGATTTAAATGACCTCCCTGTTCCTCCCTCCCCGGCCCCTTCTCTCTCACCCCGCACAAACACACATTCACACCTCTCTCCATCCACACTCCTTCTCTTCAACATCATCCACTCTCCCTCGCCCCTCCACCTCCCTCCTTTTAGAATCCCTCGCAATCCCTTCTAGTGCCCTCGAATCCATCGTTCAACTATCCCGCCATCAACCTCCACCTTTCAACACTCTCTCTCGCTGTTCCCTCTGCGTTCCACCGACTCTACTCAACTTCACAATGCCCGCTCCCCATTCCTTCCCTCGCTTTAATCGCCTCTCGGCTTCCTCCGGGTTCCCCGGTTTCCTTCCATAGCTAAAACAACCCCCCCCCCCCACACACACCACACACAATGTAACCACTATTTGGCCAAAACATCTCAATGTTGAAAAACAATTACCTGCACATCAGTCAGCCGGGAATCTCGCACAGCAGCAACATCGCCCCGCCCTCCACTGCGAACACGTGGAAGGACCCTCAACAAAAATAGTCTTGAGACTGAGCGAGAGGCCTTTCTTGGCAAACAGGCGAGATAATACTAATTATCCATCTCCTCCACCTCAGACTCCCTCCCTCCCTCTACCACACGCACACCTACCTGCATTAGCATCACACTCTCTCCCTCGCAATTATCCCCATCACTCCTACCCCCCAGGCGTCTTGGAACACGCGGGTCCCCACCCATTCTCTTTTGGGGCTCGTACACGGGGATGGGGTGGGGCGAGAGTCAATGGGATGGGGGATACCAGGTGAGTCCACGTCAAGGTGCACGGCATCCTGGCACGCTCGTTCCCGCGGGCCCACCAGACGAGATGATGATGGGGATGATGGTGGTGGTGGTGGTGGGGATGATGGTGATGGTGGTGGGGATGATGGTGATGGTGGGGGTGATGGTGGTGGTGGGGATGATGGTGATGATGGTGATGGTGGTGATGGTGGTGATGGTGGTGGGGATGATGGTGATGATGGTGGTGGGGATGATGGTGGTGGGGATGATGGTGATGATGGTGATGGTGGTGGGGATGATGGTGATGATGGTGTTGGTGGTGGTGGGGATGATGGGTGCAGTAACTGCTGTGCAGCACTTAGGACGATCGCTGCTGAAATCGTTTATTGCATTACCGGCAGCCGCATGAAAACAAACATCGGTTGCTGGTTCGTCGGACACAGACAAATGTCAGAAGTTTATTCCCATTGAGCTTCGAAGATCGATTTCATGGGCGACCGGGCCTGCAGACAGCATTGATTAGTAAAAGACGACGCGGCTAGCCGTCAACTTTAGAAAGGAAGACAGCTGCCACAGCCCAGTGGCGGTCAGCAGCCGCACACTGGCCTGGCAATGCATGCACGGTCTGTTGGACTTCTTTCGCACCGTACGGAGGAGCGGGAGGGGGGCTGAAACAATTCCACAGGTCGCGGGTTCTTTTCGATCTCCGGGCGCGGCAGAGGTGCGATCGGCGGGTCTCTTGCGGTAGGGGCACAGTGGTGGGCTACTCCCATCTCCTCCAAGACGCATTGCCCAGCATGCAAGAGCAAGCCAAACACCGCCATAGGTGCTGTTTGGCATTGCCCAACAAACACGGCTGTTTCTGGTGTAGGGGCCGTCCATAAATGACGTCACGCGATTTTGGACGATTTTTGACCCCCCCCCCCCCTCAAATGACGTCATAAAGCTCTGCCCCCCCCCCCCCCAAACAAAAATAAATCATGCTTCAAATCGCTTGAAACTATTGTCATTGTAGTGCGTATTTAATGTGGCGCTACACTCTAATGTTGTAGGAGGAAACATTTATTAAAAAGTCTATTTGATTAAGTAGAACGTGTTGTCTATGTATTTAAAGTTGCGCATTTTGATGTGACGTCACATTTCTCACCCCCCCCCCTCCCCTAGGTGCGTGACGTCATTTATGGACGGCCCCGTAGACCAGTTTCAAAGACAATGCATACACTATCAGAGCATGTTTGCCTGCATGCTCACCACAAGCAGTGCATGTGGTTAATGCAGTTCTTGATTCATTGCAAAAGGTTTCGATTTAGTGTTAGAACATCTTAACACTTCCTGTGTTATTGCCAGAACGGGCTAAAACCTATTCTTATTTCACGCTTTCTTTTAACTCACTGTCTGTGGTTGTATCCTCAAATTTTGTAACTCAATTTTAACCCACTTTCCCAATGTGGTATCGACTGCAAACTTGGTATACTTATGTCATACTGATGACAATACTGTATTCTATCATAAAAAATGTATATTTGTAAACATTCTTTTTTATATGTTATGTTTCGGCTTGTGTCTAATTGTCCACGGTCAACTGACGTTGGCTGTAATTGGTCACGGTCCCTTACGTTATGGCAAGCTTCGGGCCACTTCCTGGAGTCGTGGAGTTATGCCATTACTAGTACATTTCATTAAAGCGTGTTTATAAAAAAAGTTTTTTAAATATATATTACTTATTTTTCATCCTGGTCGCTTGACGTAGAGACCTTGTCACACTTCCTGATTCACTCAGCTCACTGGTGGCTCGTCACCTCCTGACCACTCCGATATCGCGACGATCACGGTTACCCAGTGCCGGATTATCCTCCTAGCACAAGCAGCAGCTGCACATGTAGTAGCTACACAAGCAGCAGCTGCACATGTAGTAGCTGCACAAGCAGCAGCTGCACATGTAGTAGCTACACATGTAGTAGCTACACATGTAGTAGCTACACAAGCAGCAGTTACACAAGCAGCAGCTACACATGTAGTAGCTACACAAACAGCAGCTACACATGTAGCTACGGGCCCCGCTCTTTCAAGGACCCCGCGCTAAATACTTTCAAGCTATCAATTCCTATTCAGTGAATCTGCACTTGCTCTATTACTATAGTACTATACTGCCTTAAACTTTTATGAACGGCTGGGTGTTTAAGGTTAGCGATTTGTCGTATTATCTGGTTGTATAGCAAATGGAAAAATACAATTACAGTACTTTACTGTGCAAGTAAATTTATTTTATTTAGGGCCCCTGTATAACATGTGCTACAGGCCCCGCAATCTTCATCCGGCACTGCGGTTACCGCTGCCGTGAACGTCACCCCGTCGAGTCCTCCAACCAAATGTTGTGCACTCGGTCGAGCGGAGTTCCATCTCGTCCCATACCGTGCTCAACCACCGCGCCCCGCTTGCGAGTTGCGGTGCACTCACATGTACTCACTTCTCCCATCAACTCGCTCGCCCACACTGCGGCTCGCAACGGCGAACTACTTCCTCCTTCGCTTGGGAATTACCTCTCATCGTCTACACACTCCCAAGCATCTAGAACCGAGCTTCTTAAAAAATTAACCCGTAAAAACAAAGTTTTTCACTATAAATCCTTTATTTGCGTGGCGGCTAGTCCTCTCGTCCTCTGGCTTGAGATGGCTGCCACATATGGGTCAGATGATTTGCTTGCCACCATTAAGCAATTGGTAATTACATATAAAAAAAAATTCCTAAAAAGTGTAAAATTTTGGAATTTTTTTCACGAAAATTAATTGTCACGCACAACGAGTCTGTGTGCAAAATGTCAGCTCGATTGGATCACGGGAAGTGGGTTAAAAAACGACCGAAAGATTTGCACGGTCGTAAGCACGCGAGCAAGTGAACTTAATATAAAGGATTTTTAAAAAAAGTGGAAACTCTCACAATTACAACTCTGACAGCGAGCAATTTGTTTCCGACCTGTTGGCATTTTTCAGTACACCCCCCTCAATTCAACAAACCCTTCTCTGCCCCCCCCCCCAACTTAATTCGAGGTGTGGTTCCCCCGTGGTGTCGTGGTGACAATGGTCGTGGTGGTAATCGTCGCGACATGACGCACGCTGCCCCATTCACGCGTCTCAATAATTGATGTCGCCCAGAGGAGAGAACGTGGCATCGGGGCTATTACGCTAATCCGACACGTGATGTCTGGGGGGGGGCAGAGGGGGCTCTGCTGTGCCAGGCGGTAATCTCATTGTTGTTGCCGGGCGAGTGGTGCGGGTGGTGCGGCGTAGGCGGTGGGGTCTTTGTGTTTCTGTCTCTCGGTAGGAACACCACCTCCTCCACCACCGAAGCTGCGTCTTTGAGCCTCGCGAAACGCACGCGCGCGCTCCGCATCTGGTGTAGCTTGCGATTAGACTGGGGGGGGACCGGGGGGTGGGTTACACAATCGTCCGATGCGCCATCACCTGCCGCCTCTCCGGCCCGAAATGGAAAAACTTGGGTCAAGCCAGGACGCTCATCTTCGAGGACCCCCAGAAGCGTGGTGTCCGATCCTCGATTTGACCCGAAAACACGCATCCCCCCGCCCCCCCCCCCGGTCACTGCAGCAGCGGACGCAGCCATCGGAAACGTTTTCAATGCATTTTATTCACACCGCGTAAACAACGCAGTGGCGCAGAGAGACGCACCCACTTCCATGGCCACCCCCCCCCATGCCTCCTCCCCCACCCACAGTTACTCCGTCCTTAGTGGGGGCACCCCTCTGCCCAACAACAACGAAATCGCTCCTGTCAAAGGCTGGGGGGGCCTCAAATCCATTCCCTATCGCGAGGTAGGTCTGGGGGCACAGGGGGCACAGGGGCCACAGGGGGCACAGGCCCCCCCCCCTCTCCCCGTGCTACGTGCTACGGGCGACCGTCCCGCCGATGCGACCGACAATGGCCCCTCGTCGCGCAAGCGTCGTCAAGCAACGACCGCGGGGGAGCGCTAGGGTCACGCCGGCCGGCCACGCCACCCCGCCACCCGGGCCGGGCTCACGGGGCGGCCGACAGCGCAATGACGGTGAAGCGAACCTCGTCCGGGTCCCTGGCCATGAAACGGCGGCAAACGCTGGCCGCGTCCTGTGGGGAGAGGGGAGCAGGTGAAACAGGCCTCGCGTTTGAACGGACCTACGCCCGGTCCACGTCCTAGCACATGCGCGCGCACACACATGGACACGTGTGTGTGTGTGTGTGTGCACAGACAAAAAACAAAGCTACACACACAATGTCACTGGTATTGACAAAAAACACATCGCAATGCCGAGAAATGACCTGCAAATTACTAACTGGGATTACGCATCGCGACATCGCCGACCTACTGTAAAAGAAAACAGGCAGGACCCTCCTGAAAGAGTGAGGCTTTCCTTGGAAAGCAAACGGAATAGCAACACACAATCATAACAGGCATCCAACATTAAAAGCACTACAGGCTGTCGGGTAGAGCGGGTGCCAAACGTGGATTTTTTTTCTGGAGCGAGCGTGGTGAAGTGGTGAGCGTGGTATGTGTGCTGTATGTGGTGAGCGAGTTGGAGGTGAGAGGAGGAACTGGCTCACCTCCAAGAAGGTCTGGCTGCTGGTTTTGCCGTGGTTTATAGGGAAGGGTTTCCTGCCATCTGCACGGAGCGAGAGTTGGAAGATTAAAAACACAGGCGCCAAACATCAAAACCAGCGCACAGGGAACGTGTGCATACCAGCACGTGCACGCGCGTGTGTGCATCCTCTCATGTACAGTACGCACAAAGATCCCTTCTGTAGCCTCCAACAGGCTGTTGGGACAAGTGCTGTTAGCGAGCACCTATGAAGGTCGGCACATGAGGTGGGTGGCCAAAACCAGGCCCGGCCGCCTTTGTCTCCCCAATGCTGATGCTTTACACACCGCGTAATGGTCCGCATTTAAGGCTGAGTCGACCTAGGGGAGCTCCAGCACCGGTTCAGATATTTGCCACCATTATTGGTCATGAGCTGGAATCAATTTCTGGGTTGCCAGGTTCGTAACGCGGAGTGCAAACCGCACGTGGGCATACGCACGTGGACACGTACAGGGATGTGAATACCAGCCTTTCCGTGCATGCGAGCGCACACCGACACCTAGACCGCACACAGGTAAGTGTGCGTACACGCACGCGTACACACGCACACCGTACCAGGACACGCATCCCGGCAAGAGTGGACATCGACGCAGAACGCGTGGCCCTGCGCAAACACAAAGATCCCCTGCACAGCCTTTAATAGGCTTGTTGCGCGCACAAATGTGTGGAAACAAACGCAGGCGCACGTCAACTGTAACACACGAACATCACATGTGACACACGTGCGTTCACACGCACGCAAGGATACCGGCACCCCCCACCGCACCAGCATGTGGTTCTGTGCAGGAGCGGGTCAACTGCCACGCAGCACGGCAGCGGCCCGAACAGACACGCGGGCGCTCATCCGTCATGCGTCGTCGCTCACAACCGGGAGACAGCGTCGGGGCTTTCACACCGGAGCCCTCGCGGGGGTCAGAGGGGCGGCCCGGGGATGGTGATAGGACAGGTGCCGGCCCGTACCGTGACGGGGCCTCCGCATTATTAAATTGGACACGGAGATGTGCGCGCACGCACACACGCATCTGCCCGCGTGTATGTGCATACCCGCGCGTGGGGGTTCCACAAGATTCGCTCCGTTAAAAAGGTGCGCGCGGAATAAACCGGAGTCGCTCGCCGCTCCCACATGTAAACATGCACGATCCACTGCTGGATGAGAGCCTCCCTACAGCCACCATGCAAGCCGCGATGACTATTTGGACCTTACTTCACCAGGTTGGCCGGTGTGGGCTGACCAAGGGAATGCAGAACAAGAGATTCTGCTGCACCACCCCTACTGCTCGCAACGCCTACTGCCCCCTGTTCTGTGCTTGGTGGTTGCCCATCCAAGCATCGTCCAGGCTCAAAACCTGCTTAGCATCCGAGGAGTGATGGGATTGGGTGTGTTATAGGGGATGTGGTCATAGGCCACTGCTCTTACAGCAGAGGAACAATGACAACGTTCACGTGAAGGGCGTTAGATCACGTAGACGAACCTCTCACGGGGTCCGGTTCTCTAATAGGAACTGGTTCACCATCATCCCCACTTATTAGACTGCACCTCCCACGCGGCACACCGAGTAGCCGACGTTGGTTCATTAGTTCTCGTCAAGTGGGATGATTAGCGGCCAAGCAAAGGCAAGCGTCACACGCAGCACCGCACGTGACATCGCCGCCGCCCTCGCGTGTGACAGCGCCTGGCGACGCAGGGCGACGAAGGGCGACGCAGGGCGACGGGGGAAGGGCGACGCAGGGCGACGGGGGAAGGGTGAGGTAGGGCGACGGGGGAAGGGCGAGGCTTTACCGAGCTCGTAGACAGAGTCGTCCACGTTCACCAGCGCGATGAAGTGCAGGTCCACCTTCTCGTCCACACTTGGCGCCTGTGCACACACACACACAGAGTGTCACACGCTGAAAACACACACACACAGTGTCGCGTATAGACAGCACGACACACGGTGACACACTCGGCAGCCACACACCTGCAGTGACACACGTACACACAGTGGCATATGCAGGTCCGTCCACAGTACTGCACACACACAGCATCACATATACACAATCATCAACATCATCATGTGCCCCTACAGTCGGCGCGCTCGCTTTTGTCTGCTGATGTTTTACACACCGCACCAAAGACAAATCCCCCAGATAGCCTCAGAATTTTTTTTTAGGGCAAGTGGTGTTAGCAAGCACCTGTGAAGGCCAGCACCGCACACAAAGGGGTGGGGTGGTCAGCACCACGCCCGGCCGCCTGTCTCCCGAGTAGCGGTGTTTACACACCGCACCAAGTCCTCATTTTAGGCCGAGTCTACCTACAGGAGGCCCAGAAACGGTTCATAAAATCGTCAGTGGGGTTGGTGGGCTTGAGCGGGAAACGAACTCGGACTCGTAGCGCAGCGCGCTAGCCACTGCACCGCCACCGCTCCTCCCAGCCAGCATACGCGCACGCCAACACGCACCAACGATTACACGCAGACGTGTCCTCACTGGCCTCTTCCCTCCCCCTCGCCCACGGATCTCTCTCATCTGTTTACCCAACGTGCCGATGTCATCACCCCATGACTTCACTCCCCAGGAGCGTGAAGTGGTCGCTATCGTCTGATAACCGCTCTCCTGCCATTATCCAGATAACTGTGCTCCGGCCATTACCCTGATAAAACTGCGAAAGTCCGAATATCTGCTAAATATATTTTTTGTGCACGAAGCACACTTCACGTGTATTCCACATGACCCAAATACATTTCGCACGCACTGCGAGTCGAATAGCTTCCACATGTGTCGCGCATAATTTCCAAATAGATTTGGCACGGCTGTGCGTAAATAGAGCGAGTGTGGCGTTGGGAGCCGGCTCTCCTGCCGCGAGCGGCCGAGGGGGATTGGGCTCGGACAGAGGGCGCCCGCAATGAGGACGGTGTCCCGCGCGGGCCGCACCAAACGAACAAAACCGCGCCAGCAGAGCACAGGCCGCGAAGGCCAGTGACGAACAGCACGATTGAAAGGAGAACAAATGCGAGTTTGAGAGTTTCTTGAATTGAGCAGGGTTATGGGAACTTGGCAACAGAGACACAATGGAAGCGAATCCAAGCGTGGAGCAGTGCGATGGAAGCGCAGGAGGAGAAGTGCTGTGACCTGCAGTGTGGGTGAGCGAGCGAGCGAATGGGTGGGCGAGTTGGTGCGTTCTTATGACGCGCAGTGTGGTGGTGGACAGAGCCGTCCCCATAGGGATGTGTGGAGCACCGGGTAAATCACACGACGGGAGACTTCTGGAAAATCCTGTGCACTGTGTGGTGGCCAGGAGCTGAAGAGCGCCACAGCAGATCAGAGAATACATCTGTGTGGAGATTTGAGCAGCAGGTGGTGGTGAAGCTACGACTTTGTCACCTCCTCGTGGGAGTAGAGGGGCTTTACTCTGGCTTCCTCCCGGAATAAAGCCGAACTCTCATCGTTCGCAGAGCGACGCATCACGACTCTCTTTAACAGATGTCTTAAAACACCGGGCTTTATTGCTGCTATTATTCTATTCTTGTTATTAACGTTCATGCGAGTGGAGGTGTCCATCAGTCGCACAACCCCAGGTGGGAGCAGCCTCCCCCAGCTGCAAGCGCTTAGCGACAGCGAGGCAACAGCTGTCGGGCTTAGATGCCAAAACTCCCCCCCCTCCGCCACTACCCTCCCACCAACCCCACAGAGCCTGCAGGAATGTGCGACTCCTGTTATTTTTGTTTGTTTTCGTTTAAACAGATTATAAAACGCCATCACGATGGCGGAAACATGGGGCCCAACCGAACCTAGCGTGCAGCACAGCGGGCTTCCAGCCGCTGCGCTTCTCCCGTTCGCAGCGCCAGGTCAGTGGTGCGAGACCAAGCACTGTCGACCTCCCAACGAAGTGGTTACTCGCTTTATCCACTCCCAGGAGGACGGATGGGCCGAGTGAAACTTCTCTGACAACTCGGGATTTTCACCCGCAACCTTCCCATTGCGAGCCGCGCGCTCTACCGCCGAGCCACTGGACAGGATATTACAGAAATGTAAGTTATCAATGGGGATGGGATATAGCATCTGGGAGGAGTATGCAGTAAGCAAAAGCCAGACCAGTTTACACAGCAATGTGCGTTTTAGTCTCGGTCTGTAACCAAACAGACAGCGGCTTAACCTGGCAGCCTGCTGCTCAGCGTCGACCGCGCGGTGCAGACAAGCTCGACCGTCACCACATCGCGTGCGGGACACACGTCCCGTCCCGCCAGATCGCACAATCTCAGCGGGCTTCAGCCTGGACAGTGCTTGGATGGGCGGCCACCGTGCACGCCAAGTTGTCGTAGGCGGCTGCTATGTGGTGGGCGCTCGAGGGAGGGGCAGACAGAGCCGTTTTCGTACAGCGATTCGATGCTCCCGCGTCTCTGTTCCCCGCCGTCACCGACTCGTACTGCCCACCGTGGTGAAGTATGGTCAAATAACCCCCGATGACCCGCACGGCGTGGGGGAACCATCCGCGCACACGTGGATTATTTCTGATCACCAACTGCAGGAACTCGTGCCTTGCTTATCTCTCTGCTAGCGTTGGTGACGTCTCTGCTCCGCTCACGCAGTCCTTCAAATGCGGCATCACGAGTTCGATTCCTGGCCAACTCCAACTTCTACCAGCGGTGAACTATGTCCCAGCTGGTTTTCGGCACCACCATCCACACTCCACCGCCCCCCCCCCTACCAACCCGCACTAACCAGCTGGGTGAAGTACGGTCAAATGAAGCCCGTGACTGTCACGGCGTGGGGAGGGCTTTCCTCCGGCAACGTGTGTCAAACAACGATGAATTATGAACGAGGTACAGTCTGGAGCGTGTGCATTCCTCCAATCGTCCGCTTTGCTTTCGCGAGAGCCACGTCCATGAACGAGGCGTCGTAGAGCGGCTCCACAACTGGCCAGGTAACGACCCTCGAAGCGCACACACAGAACCGGGAACAACACCACCAGCAAAGAGAACGACACGCGGCCCTCGAGCTCCGATGGACTTGTCAGAATGTCCGCTGCGGGTGTTGGGGGCGGCGGGGCAGGGCCGAGAAGCAAATCTGTTCTGCAGTCTGGCCGGGCGGTCGTTACGCGACCCCCCGCGACCCAGCCCCGGGGTTTGACGAGCGCCAGACCGGTTCTCGCTTTTGTTTCCCCAAAAAAAGAAAAAAATGTTTTAAAATAGCCTCGGCGGACGGAGAACGGCGGCCCGTACCGACCGGGCGGCACGCCCTGCACGACATCGTCTCGTACTGCATGACATCTTCGTGCGTCACGCCAGGCCATGGGGGGGGGGCGCTTTGCTTGTGGGGGTCTAACTGGGCCGCTGGACTGATCACCTGACCGCCAGTGAATGCCTCGGACGTTAAGAGACCATGAGCAGCTGTGATCTATAACCTGACACACGAACGGATGAGGACCCCCGACCCATCCCCTCTCACGGAGCCATCGCCATCTCTCGCAGTCCTGCGATGCGACAATCCGTCTAGCCCCTGCACCCGAGCAGATTGCATCGCTCCGTCTCCGCACTCGGCGGCGGACGTCTTCTCGAGCCCGTTGCCGTCTTTGTCTGCGATTCCATTGTCAAGTCTCGACCGCTGGCTATCGTCCCCTTTTAGCGACGTGTCCTGCCCAAGCAGCCAAGCTCAATTACTTTCCTCACAGTCAACATGACGTCCTTTACCTGTGAATGCTCTCTCTCACCCACGTTCCCCTCTTTGTCTCTCGGTGTCATTCAGAGCCATGCGCAGTCCTCTCCGTGCTTCTTGCGCATTTTTCACCTTTTGTCTAATTTTCTTTGTCAACGTCCATGCGTCGGATCCGTACGTCAAGGGAGGTGCTGCTGTGCACCTGCTGTAGGCACATTGCCATGTCGCTTTTCACTACGCTCAAACGTGCGTCTCCAAAACACCCACGCGGAGCGTGACGCAAGGCTCCTGCCCGAGGCTTGGCAGTGTCAACACGCGACTCCGTCTCCCGATACCTTTGACCCTCACCCCCTCCCCAACCTCCGACTCATTCAACCCACGCAGTCAACGTTGGCGTGCAATCCCAACAGTGCGACCGTCAAAAGCCCAGAACGCACGTCACCCGCCGCCGAACCTTTTCTTCAGTTGGTGGACTGTGTGCGTTACACGGTCTGGTGATGTCATGTGACACGCAAGGCGTCGTGGGAGCACCGATCCGATGGTCACAATGTCACCTTTACCACTCATGTTCGTTTCCAGTTTGCACACCTCTGGATTCTCTTCCCATTCGTGCAGACGGAGGAGTGTTCAGCTTCCATTGGCTTGAGTTCTGGTTGATCTCTTTCATGACTTCTCACATCAGAGACGAGGAGCCCATTCCTCGATTTAGAAATGCGGCTACAGATCTTGCAAGTGTAGTCGTCGTTGGGCGGGGAAGGGGTTTACAGCACCAGACTTACGACTCCGTAAATATGCAACGTTAGCACGTAGGGTTGGTACCGTTAGACAAACGTTGGCCCAAAATTGCATTTTACTGGACACGTGTCGCGCTCTCCAGCAGAGACCTCTCGCGCGCCACTCCTCAACGCCGGACACAGCGGCGTTGAGGCACGGGTCTCTCCGCCTGGGCCCGTCGAGTGGGACCGGTGGCCAAGTTTGAAAGTGCATCATTCTGCTTCACACGGGAACATTGTCCCCTTCTGTGAAACCACCGCTGACCGTACAAGTGTGTGAAACACGGCGCCGTCATCGATAGCCTGGCATTCGCAGAAACGGTCCGATTGGTGGCGACGTCACCGGCGCGTTAGGAAGCTCTGCCGCTGGCTCTCTCTCTCGGTGTAGAGCGAAGCAACGAGAGCCGGACTCACGGAGGAGAGGCAGCAGACGCGGACGTGTGGCTCTCAGC